CAGCCTGGTCTACAGAGTGACATCCAGGACAGGCACCAAAACTACACAGAGAAACCATGTCTTGAAAAACCAAAAAAGAAAAAAAAAGAAAGAAAGAAATGCCTACTCTTGAAACGGACATACCAGTGGCAGAGAGATATATAAAAAAGAATTAATGGTTTAAAATGCAGAGGCTACATTCAATGATAAGACCTCAATTTAATGATAAAAATAAGGTCAGAGTGCTTTGAAGGTTGGAGTCAAGACTTAACAAGTATAAGTCATATGTGCCACAAAATCAAATTATTGAAGTAAAGGCAAACAAAAATCCTCACGGAATGGTGCTGGGCAGAGGGGTAGGAGGTGGAAGACCCAGAGAGCTGGTCGAGTAAAATAAAAAAATCTTGTTTTTAGGACTGGGCTTGATAGTATATGCCTTTAATCTCAGCCAATCGGAGGCAGAGACAGGTAGATTTCTGTGAGTTCAAGGCCAGCCTGGTCTACATAGTGACTTCCAGGACAGATAACGGTACATAGGTGAGACCTATGACATTTTGCATTATGATATAGACACTAGGCTATAGGGACCAGTAAATGGAATGTGATGGTTGGAATGAGGATGTTCCCCACAGTCTAAGATGTATGAATACATGATCCCCAGTTGGTGGCACTGTTTGGGTAGATATGGGAGCCATGGCATTGCTGGTGAAAGTATGTCATTGGGGGTGGGCTTTTGATTCCAGAGCTGTGTGCCATCCCGTTTTGTTGAGGTGATGGTGGTTTTGATGTTTCCATCTCATGGTTAGAGACATCAGCCCTTAGGTTCAGCTCTTAGCATTCAACTTCTGCTGCTTCCACTCCACCTCTGGATATTTAAGCTAAATAAATGCTTTATTGTGTAAATTGGCTTGATTCTAATATTTTATCACAACAACAGAAAATAACTAATACAGTCTGTTGTTAAACTTTACAGTTTGCTTAAGCAGTAGAATATACAGTTTTATTCCTACAATCCAAGCTATTGCAACTGCACCATTTTAATCAACCCAATATCCAAATTAATGCTGCCAAGAGCATGATCTAATCATTTAACTGGTGATGTGCAGATAAGTAGACACATTGCCAATAATTAGAGTATAAGCTGAAGTAAAATAGTCAAGGCTGTTAATATTCTCCAGTGGTCTCTCCTGAAGATGAAGCCACCTTTGTATTAGTATGCAATCAATCCAGCCGTGATTATGTTAAGATGCTGGTATTGTCCGAATTAAATCTAAGATAGTTTTCTTTCAAAATCATATGTTGCTGATGCTGTCAATTAGTACCAAACTTGACAGTAAAGCAATGATAAAAATATTTTGTAACAAGTAACCATGAAAGTGAGGATCAGAATGTTAATTGGCTTAGCACCACATGATAAATAACAAAACCAAATCTGATTTCAAGGCTAGATTTTTTTCCTTTCATCCACACTATAGCACTCGCTAAAGAGATAGTTATGAAGACAAAGATCAAAAAAAACCCAAGAACTTGGAAATTTTCAAGTGATGAGTCAGAATTCATTAGATCATGGAGTACAGAGCACAGTGAAAAGTAGCAAAGGGATAATAAGAAATAAGACAGTAATGGTGTATGCCTTTAATACCAGCACTTAGGAAGCAGAGGCGGGTAGATATCTGAGTTCAAGGCCACCCTGGTCTACAGAGCTAGTTCCAGAAGAGCCAGGGCTACGCAGAGAAACTCTGTCCCCCCCTCCCAAAAAAAGGAATTTCTGTTGAAAATCAACACCAGCACCATTTCTTATGGTAATAATTACTTTCTACAGCCAGTACAAGAGCAGGGACAAGGCACTAATTAACAGATTTTATGCTGGGCTTTTATTGGCTGTGTAGAGTGTCATGTGACACTCTAATTTCATTTTGCTGAAAAAAATCCTTCAACTTAAATTGTAAAAATAATATTATGTGATACCAAGTTTTGGAAGCTTTAAGATTCCTCATTAAGATACTTCCCTCACAGCTTCTACCCAGACTGAAATTGGGTCACTAGTGGTGTTTATTTAGAGTAACATGGTACATCGAGTAAAGAATGAAAGCTCTGCAGATAGGGGAAAAATGAAAAAAATCCAATGTATTAAATTTATTTAATTTAGGGCTTGGGGATTTAGCTCAGTGGTAGAGTGCTTGCCTAGCAAGCGCAAGGCCCTGGTTTCAGTCTTCAGCTCCAGAAAAAAAATCATTTAATTTTAGAAAAACAAGTGTAGCTAGAGTTTTCCTGCCTTGCCCACAGTCAGGACAAATCTCTGTCACCCGCCAGTCCCACAGCCACTCAGACCCAACCAAGTAAACACAGAGACTTATATTGCTTACAAATTGTATGGCCGTGGCAGGCTTCTTGCTAACTGTTCTTATAGCTTAAATTAATCCATTTCCACAAATCTATACCCTGCCACGAGGCTAGTGGCTTACCGGCATTTTTTCATGCTACTTGTCAGGGTGGCAGCTGGCAGTGACTCCTTCTGCCTTCCTGTTCTTTTATTTCTCCTCTCTGTTAGTCCCGCCTATACTTCCTGCCTAGCTACAGGCCAATCAGTGTTTTATTTATTGACCAATCAGAGCAACTTGACATACAGACCATCTCAGACACCTGCACTCAGGCCCGTGGTCCTAATCATCCTCTATGCGGACCTGCTGGGTAAAGCCACGAGGAACCCAAGAACGGGCTCCCACAGGACATACAGAACATCCCACAGCAAACAAGCAACAAATTACCATATTTAATTTTTAAAGATAATTTAAAGAATGAAGATTATTCCATATAAACTCTCAGTTTTATTTATAATCACTTGCTAGTTAATATTACTCTTGTTTACATATTTCTTTAGACAGTCTTTATATTTCATCCATGTACAATAGCTGTTCTAACTCTGTAATATTTAAGGTGTTTATAAAACACTATATTGAGATTCCCTGAGAACCCACCAGCCACACTGGCCAGGGAAGGTGCTAATTAGATAAAACTAGAAAAAAATAATCCTGAGCAAGTTAACCCAGACCCAGAAATACAAATATGGTAAATATTCAGTTCTATGTGGATGTTAACTTTTAAGTCAATGATAACTAAGTTACAATCCATAGAACCACAGAGAGTAAGTATAGAATAAGGGACTAGGAGTGGACAGATAGATCCCTGAGGAAAGGGAAACAGAATAGATAGTTATGAATGGGTGATGGGGGAAGTACTAGAATTAGAGGCTTAAGTAGGAAGATGAAGGGAAAATAGGCTGGGGGGGGATACAGAAAGACAGATAAAATTAAGGACCATTTGAGAGGTACTATGGAAAGTTAATATAGTAGAAACTTCTTAAAATATATACATATATGAAGGGGATCTAAATGAAATCTCCGAATAACACAACAGGACATCACCTGTCACCAAATAAAGCTTCCAGTACTAGGAACAGATCACATCTAATTGAGTTATTGGCCAAAGGGGTACAATGGAAATCCCCAAACAGCCCAGGCTGTTGTCAGTACTATAGGTTGTTCTCCACAAACTCTTAGTCCCCTATTGCTAAAGACAATATCTACACAACTCATTGAACATGGAGAAGTTGAGCCGGTGCCTCCCTAAAGCCTTCATTCCTACACACTAGTGTTCTTGGTACTTGAAGGTACTCTGCATACAACCAAGGGAGAAATGTAAAAGCCAACCCAACTACAAAGGTTCAATCTACAAAGGTGTCCTGCCTCCAAGATATGCTAGTGCAATAGTGGAACAAAGCTTGTGGGTGTAATCAACCAATATCTATCTGATTTGACTTCAGGTCCACTCCACAAAATGAATCACATATGCTGCTTGGGTGACCAAGAACCTGAGAGTAGATAGGTTGGGGTATCAGGTAAAACTAAATAACACTGTTCTAAAGGAATGTAGCAGTAAAGTGACTCCTAATGACATTCTTCTGTACTCATTGATCAGTGCCTTGCTCAGCCATCATCAGAGAAGCTTCCTTCTCCAGCAGATGGGAACACATACAGAGACCCACAGCCAGATAATAATCTGAGAATGGGAGACCTCTGAACATTCAGCTCTAAATGAGATGTCTCCAACAAATTCCTCCTCTCCGGGCTCAGAGAA